TATTCGTTAAAATATATTTAGTTTCGAAACATTATACCACAAGTGTATTACTGAAATACTATACTAAATGTATCAAATACTACAATTGTATTCATTGAAACTATCTGTGAAACGAAACTTAGATATTAAACTTGATTCGTATAAAATGAATACGTTGCAAATATAAGTTTTCGAGTAGTATTTGAAATTCATGAAACGGAAACTTAGATATCGAACGTGTTGCACTTGATGCCACCCCCTACTTCTAACAGCGTAATAACCGCGATCTGTTGGGGATCTGGGTGCTTCTCATCTGTGCGACGTAGTATTTTTTCCAGTTGCGGAAGTACGTTGACCCCGGGGACGAGGATAGGTCTCTATCGTCCCTGTACCCTGGTCACGAACATCTCAAATTGGTTGTAGAAATACCGCCTGCCGTCCAGGAATTTATTTTCTAACCGAGCGACTATCTTCGACCGATGCCTGTCGAACGAGAGGTCAAATGTTGTTGCAGCACACACTCGCATGATGTTTAGAAAATAGGGAATTTAATCGTCTGACCACGAATCAACTATTTCCCACTCTGCTGTCTTTGCATCTTTACGAGAGAAACAATATCTTTTTATTTTCACGAAATATTCGTTTCACTTCGAACGACAGAAATTTTAGTAAATCCAGGAAAAGTCCATTTATTTGCGAGATATTACTGATATGACTGCGTGATGTTGAGAAAAAAAAAACAAAAATGAAAACTGATTCAGATTAATTAAAATCAAAGGGCTTGACGTGTCATCACACTAATATGGCAGTCAGATTTTAGCGAGTATTCACGTGTGATTATTTCTTTAAATTGTTAAATACTAATCATATATTTGAAGTTGAAATGAAATATATAATGTCGAATATATTTAGTGCTAGAGGATTTAATTAATCCCTGTAACATCGTATTATATAATTGAAACCAATTGTACCTTGCATTTCATCAGACTCTTCGCCCTGAAAAAGAAAAATAATACAAGCCATAAAATTCGAACGACTGACATTTACGAGGTAAAAGACTCTGATATTAATAACATCGACAGAGTAATACATCCGACGTGTAACTCGTTAATATCGAATTTTATTCGTTAACCCTTTGAAACACTATGAAAGCATATACACATGTGCACATTTCGCAAAATTATTATCTTTTATATAATTATCGTTGAAATCTGATTTTGTCTCTCTTTAAATTATGAAATTTCTTTACAATGATTTGTTAGAAATTAGAAGCTCGTAAAATTGCATGAAAAATTTAGTTCAATAAATAACTATGAATAATAAAATACATATATAGAAAGAATTGTATTATCAAATAAAGTATTAATCGTTTATCTTATATGTTTATTATTATATCATATACTTTATTCTCTTTAAAATCCAAGAAACGAAAGAATATTTTTCAAATAAAAAGTTACGACAAATTCATATTTATAAAATAAGTATTTTGTAGATATTTACGCGATGGATAAAATGTTTTTGAGAATACATTTTCGCTTTCTTTGCAATTATTTTGTCTTTATTTATAAATAAAGATCATAAAATTATATTCAAAAAATTTAATAATATCTATTAAAATATAATATTCATTTCATATACACTTAAATTATTAAAAATCGAACCTCGATAGAACGTTGTTTTATGTAACTAAATGTTATAGAATAATTACAGTCATTGCCAAATAATATGTTTGGATATTATTAGAGAATTTCTAAAACTGAACGAAAGGCGAAAGCGAATAATTTGCATCTCATCAACTTGCCTCTTATTTCCTGGAGGAAAACCCATAGGATTTTTTTTTTTTTT